CTAGACCAAGCCTTGGATGACGTTGATGTCGTCGAGATATAGTAGCCCTCTACGAATTTTAGACCTCTTGTCAAAAGTGATCGATTTCTTCTGTCGCAGATTGCACTCATAACTAAGATCATGAATTAAAAATAAAACTTTGTTTTTATTGAATTGGCTTGATAAAGCTTTTACCCCAAAAAATTGAGATCGAAGTATTGTTATCAGAGAAGATGGCGACTCAGCACATTTCACATCAAGCAAGGGGTATAGACCTGATTTTGTCAATGGTATCAAAGACTTCGGAAATATGGTAAGAAGTCCTTACAGTTCAATTGTAATTTAGCACTTGGTACAGATGTGAGCAATGTGGGAGTCGCTATTTTTGTTTAAGCATATTTAGCACTTTCAAACTAAATCAGCATACCAGCTATTGCTTCTCGAAATTTAAGATCATCGCGCACATTTTAAGCGTAGCTTCATCTGGTTGGCTATGCATCATTGCTCACCAATGGAAATCGACAATGTCAAACCCGATTTCTGAGCCAGAACTATGTGCTGGCGTCGACGACATTGTTTAGAACAATGCTGTAGAAATATAGTGGAACAGCAAATTGAGTCAACCTTGAATCAAATGAGAGATATTTTGTCATCTAGAGAAGGTTAGAGCTGAATTGCATCGAAAACATACGCAGGTACGTGACAATCCAGAATGTTGCGCTTAATCTTGGCACAACGCGCAAATTCTAGCATGAAGATCAGTGTATTCACTACATCCACTGGTAGTTCGGTTGGCAAAGACGATTTGCCCTTTTTGTCAACCTTGTCGGCAAAAATCTCATTCACCTTCGTACGTACAAATTGGCCCAAGTAAGCAAGGAACTTTTTGGTGTACGATGGGTGAAATTGCTTGAGAATCGTAAGGATGCCTACAAGCAGAGGCTCGCCATCAATTGGATTTTTACCAACTCGATTGAGCGCACCAAAATTACGATTATACTGCAACTTTGGCATGTACGCTACTACAAAGAGCATAAACATGGCTGCCAGACCTTCCATAGGTTCAGCAATGGTGACATAAATTTTTTGAAATGGGTCATTGGCTCCAGTGTTTTCCAAATACTTATTGAGCTCGACGAGCACAGGGTTACCTTCGCTACCCGGGTAAGGTTTGTTCTTCGGATCACGATAGTGCGCTCGAATGTCGTTGAGAAGCGAAATATTCAGCGTCTCAAGTGTCGTTGCCAGCAAATTTGCATCCAAACGGCTAGAGAACGACAGCTCGCTTGATATTTGGCGTCGAATGAGTGCTGCCTGGCCTATAATAAGTACAGCCTTAAGAAGCTTACTCATAATCTTTTCAACCTTTTTTAAAGCAGCCTCGTAAAGCTTTGTTGAATGCTCGGGTAGCTTCCATTCAGGCACAAGAGCTGCAGAGAGTTGATCTAAAAGCGGAAAGTATGGCGTTACGGCCGAGGTCCAAAATTTGACCAAGTTGTTGAGCGTATGTACGATACGGAACGAGAGCATGCGGTCTAGACCCGCGAGACCGAGTAATCCCACGCTCTTGTGAAGAACTGAAAAGGCGCCAATACCGCACACCTCGTTGCCATCTTCAGAAAACCATCCGATCGATTGCGGGGAGTATATGGTCGAATGCGGGTCGGTCATGGTGAAAAGCGCATGCATGAGGCGACCCATAAAGTTGACACTCATGTCGCCTGATGGGGGCTGGAACCTTGGAATTGGAATTGCACGACTTTGATACTGCGATGCACGGTCATAAACTTTTTTTTTCAAATAACGATTGCACTCTTGTTCGACATTGTAATTAATAATACGCGACAGCTCCTCGTGCCACATCCGGAGACCGTAAATACCAATGTAGTCCTGGATGTATTCAAATGAAAGTCTATATGCATCCAGATTGGACGCCAGTTTGACAAAAATTTCGTTACACTCCTCTGAAGTATTTTTTTCAAAGATAAGCACTTCGTGAAAAGCGAGTGAAACTCGGTATACAAGTTCCTTGCGCAGACCATCTTCCAGTACCTGTCGAGGGTCCACCTCAATAATACCGAGTAGCGTTCGCTTCATGGCCAATATTCCTTCTGTGTATTTGGAAACCTCGTTGGTTGCACGTGCCAGGCGATAGCGCTCGTTCAGCTGTGCATGATTCTTTAGCAAAGTGTTCTCAAACTTTACAGGAATTGGCTTCATGTGGTCAGTCTGCAATTTAATAATCCCTGCCAAAATACGAAACACACTCTGAGGTATGACTTCCATCACACGTCGTACGTAGTCCACAAGCTCTCCCGAGTAATACTCAGCCACGGAAATCACATCTTCAGAGCCACACTGATGGATGCGTGTGAGCGGAACATCCAGAATCGATGCAAATTTCAAGAACATCGCACGTAGTAGAATTACTGACGACGGGTCATTTTTTACACGCTGATGCAGAATTTTCATAAAATCGTTTATAATTTCCCATCCATATGAAAGATCGGAGACATTCTCAATAATTCCCATGATTTCATCTCGAATACGCACAGTGCGTACCATTTCGGTAAGAAACTCACGGGATTCCTCCAGGTACGCCTTCACTTGCAAATTTGTGTCAATTTGGTCAAACTGTTCCACGTGTCCCAAGGCTTCTATCAAGCGCTTGATTCGTCGACCTGCCTTAATATGATCTATGTAGTCCAAACTGTTTACCTTCTCCGCCAAGTCTTTAAACCATTTCATTAGGTCTTCATTGCGTTCCACGCGAGTCAGTGGCTTTTCACCGGAAAAATATTCACTCAGCTCTTCCATACGCTCTGACGTTTCCTTCATGCAACGCTGCCATCGATCTTCTTTTGTTGCAAGTAAAGCTTGAAACATCTGCTTAAGTTTCCATTCTAATTGCGAGACTTTAAGCAGTAACGTAATTAACTTGTCCGGGTCAGTGCCTTTGTCAAAAATCTCACGCTGTGTAGTTGAGTTTTCCATCATAAAAATCACCGGCTGGATACGTGAATGCATCATCGTCCATCGAATCGTGACGTTAGCATTTCGGATGCAGTTTAACAGCGGATCAAGGTTCTCCAGTACGTACATTTCTGTAAGTACACCTTCTGTAAGAAAGTGATTAAGCTCATCAATTGATCGTTGTGTCTGCTGTGCATTTTTTTTGGTAATGTGCGCAATATTAGAAGGTTCCAACGTATTTGCAAGAGCCAAGCGTGCCGCCGGATACGCGGCCCACTCTAACGACAGATCAGCCACTGTACCCATGTATGTCGTCAGGATAAAGTTATCATTGAAGTGGCGATCGACAATTTCACGCATACTTGCTTTCTCTTGAATAAGAATATCTGGAGCAAAGAACAAAATCACAAAAAGCATCGACGCCTGTGCTGCCAGCCGCGTCGAGCGGTGATTACGATGTGGAAAGCACGGTTCTTGCAAATAGACATCGTCCGACTGAAGTTTCCCGATCACCATACTAACTACTTCTTCTGGAGGTTGAAATCGCTTAAAGTATCGTTCTGGATATTGTGGTGGCTTTGGCTGGCCAGGAAGGTAGCCCGTTACTCGGCAAAGTTTGCATACTTCGTCAATATTTTCCAAAGCCGATTCGCCTTTACTTCGATAAAATGCGATCACCATCTTTTCTCTGGTTGGACCAGGAATCTTGCGGTCCAGTAGAAGCAAAATCACACCATACAGGTGCAATGCCTCGCACATAAGTTGAGCACCGTCTGTATCCAACAAAATATTGGTTAATGTGTGCTGAATAAAGAATCCTTTTTCCAGATGGTCCAAAAATTCTAAGTAGTCAGCGATGTACTGTAGTCAAAGCACAAGTACACAATCAACCCCATCCGATTATTACTGTAGTATAAAACCAGATAACCTTGTAAATGCCATCAAATAGCTGGTAGAATCGGTCTAAGATATCTTCATGGTTGTCCATGAATTCGTCATCAACATCCAGCAGCTCCTGTTCCAAAAAGCAGCAGTGAGATCCAAATGTGGATTAATTATTGAATGAACCCACATTAAGATATCACTCACTGTATTGCTGTTGATCATGTTTTCAAAATCCTCTGGATTTTTCAAGTAAGTAAAATCAAAAAGAATGTTTAAGTATTTCAACTGCTCGGGGTCTTCGACGTGTGAAGGACCCAAGAACACTCTACCAGATCCAAATACCAAGTCAAAGCAGTGCTCAATACTCCGTAACTTTTGTCTCGCACGCACCCTGGAATATTGTTCGACAGACGCAAAAGCTCCGCAATGATGGCACTACCACGACTGACGAGACGCAATAGCGTCTGTCCACAATCGTTTTCCTCGGCAAGGAACTCCATGGCGACAGCGCAAATGACGATGAAGTTATTCAAATCCCTAACCTCGTTGTGTGTACAGCACACCTTGCGCCGTAACTGAGGTGATACACTTAAGAAAACAACAATTAATGATGTGAGGTTGTTCATATATTTTTCTTCACTTGATATCCGTTGATTTCAATCGCACCGACGAAATTCATGCTATAACCATGTTCGGCAGACCCGAAAATTGACTTTACCACCGAGTAGTCAAGGGAAATGCTCGCTTACTCAGCAAGGAGACGAATGCTCACACCAGGAAGCTATTGTAGCAAACAGGCTGAAGAAACCTGGATCACCTTCGCATACTAAAATTCTGGCTCTTTGCTCGTGTACGACAATAAAATATCAAATTAAGTAGTTGTTTGCTGAGCTCATGTAGCTTCCAGGCAATTAACTAGGACACAATCGAGCTCTAATGGCACAAAGGAGAGTCTCCGATCTTCGAAATATGTCATTTGACATGAAGTCCATTATCGCACTACGATGTTAGATTTATTCGTAAAATCTCTATCGGTGCAGAAGGGTGACCGTGGCTAGAAAGCTGGAACTCGTAGTCCACAATATAGAACGCCGTTCACGAGAAACTGGAATTAATCTCTTAACAAAGCTTAAATTCAGCTGCTATCTTGAACAAATAGCGGTATAGCTATTTTTATTATCCCTTGATTTATGTATTTATTGAATGAGTAATATATTATGATCCGACACAAAACAGTAATTCTATTATATAGTGTACGAACACATCACACTATTCTTACACTGTAAACTCCAGCGTATCATGATTTGTGCAAAGGGCATTTTGTAAACGCGATGCTTCCGCTCATATAGTCCGCGTTGAAAGAATACGCTCCACCCCAGAGCGGATCGAAAAAAACAGCTTAATTAGCAATAGTTTGCTATTTCAAGATTGACAAACACTAAGAAAATTTCCAAATAGAATAATATATAAATTACACGTTTCTCCATATCTCATAAATAAACTGGCTTTATTACTCGACGTGCGGCTAGCAGCTCATAAGGACCACCGATCTTCTTTTACGAAGTCCCATCATCTTCACTAATACTGTTACTTATGGATATCTACAATTACACACTAATAAAATGTAAGGTTCGTACAATTGTACAGCATTCGATTTGATACAATTGCGGCAAAAGTGCAAGGAATAATGCACAAGATTACGGTGCTCTGCTACCCCTTCCCTCCACTAAGATGTGAACCACACTGAAATTTAAATTTTTATTCTTTGACAAATCACCGGGCAACCAACGCCCAACGTAACACCACCCTCAATACTTTACCGTGCCAACTCCTCTCAGCTAACTTGAACCGGGATTTGCTTCCCGCGCACCGTATTAATTGGTTCAACGAGCCCCAAGTACAGCGCAGACTTCGCGAGCGATGCGCTATGCCAAGGTGATCTTTAAGGAGAGAACAAACGGTTGTAGTGGGTTTGGAGCCATGTCAAAACATCATCTGAACAAGCTAAACACGTTTTTTTACGGCGTGTAAAAATGCGACACCACCACCGTGAAGTCTCGACAATGACACCTTCGCCTCCCATCTGCACGAGATAGAAACACCAATTTCCTTTCTCACGGTGGGTGATGCTGCAACAGCTCACGAC